ATGTTTGAAATCCGGGAAATAAAATTTCCTGAATATTGTCTTGTGCGAATTTCGTTGGCAAGAATGTTTTTTAATTGGTGGAATCAATCTATCAACATTAATTGCCGGATGATTCATTGAGGAATGAAAAATAAATGAGAATTGCGGAAGGAAGAGTGACTGAATTATTCCATCGGAAATAGTGTGTTTGCACTTGCATGAGGTTTTTTTATGTAAAAGCGAGAGTGGCAAACTTCCGGTTGAGTGGATTTCTAATGGAAGTAAGAGTGCAAAGTTATGAGATCCTCAACATCCAATAGATCGTCAATAATCGATCATTGACATCAAGTGATTTCAAGGTCTGAAATAAACGATAGAATTGAGGCATTCACCCTAGGGCCCATTCTTTGTTGTCCATTTTGCGCACTAGGATTTCCTCACAACACTTTTCGATTATTTTTATTTAAAAAAATGTCACATTTCACTGGTTTTCACTGGACACTTGGGGGTGGAAGTACTCGTTGATTGGGTGGACGTGGGGGTAAGAGGGTGAAAGGGGTGAAATTGTTGACTGGGGTTGCACTCACCTGCGAGGATAAGTTGCCACATGATGAACAAATGGGTGACGGTGACGACGAGAGAATGTTGGGTGGAAGTTGGCAACTCCGGGCTTTATAGAACCCAGGGGAAAGGCCGCGCCCGATCCGGACCAGGTGGGGTGAGACAGGGCTTTTTCCGCGGTGGTAGGTATTTATTTTCGGTTGAATTAGGTGGCATTATGAGAAACAGCAAGAGAGAAGAACATCCGCACCTAGAAATCATTTTTTCCAACATCATATTTTTTATATAAATTTTTATTCATATATTTCATGGATTTTTATATTTCATTTTTTTATGTACTTCAAAATATATGTTTTATATTTTTTATATACTCTTTATTATCTCCCGTATTTCCATATAGATGAAATCCAATTGTTAATAATCATGTATAATTAATTTTTAATATTTTTTTATTTTGAAAAAAGGGAATATTGCAAATAATAACAATTAATATTTTTTACGGTATTTTTTGGGGGAATTCGAAGGAATTGGAGACATTTCGGATTTCAATTTCTCTGATTATTTAAATAATTGAATTACCTCGGTTATTATGCACCGAGAACATGATTTCAGGTGAGTAAATGTACTTAAGACAATCTTTACATACAGTCGAGTTTAAATACTGGTTTTGAACAAATTCGTGTAGCTCAGTGTGTGATTTAGACGTGGGACGAATTATACGTAATCGTTTACTATTTTTTTATTGGTAGAAATTTTTTTTTGCCAATAAACAAATAATTTTTCCTTTCGGTAGAAAATTTGTCATCGAAAAAATTTTTTTTTCTTGTGAAAAAATAAAAAATCACCCACAATCACAGAATTTCTTGATTATTAATTTAAATAAACGTAAAACATAAAACAAATTGAATGCTAATGTTTTTGGACGGATTTACTTCATACATACAATAATTACAATTATTTATTCATAAATTCATTTATTTATAATCTAGTACAATAATTACAATTATTTATTTATAAAAAAAAGGGATAATCCAGTGGCGAAAATAATTGAGACAGCAATTATTCTATTACTATTTATACAAAGAGAAATGGAGTTTTAGTTAGTCAGCTGATAATTGGCGTTGAAAAATAGTGGAGTGATTAAATAATAATAATTCAATAATTAGAGGGCACTTTACCGGTAATTTTGCCAAGTGTGAGGTAGCCCTATTATCATCAACGACTTTTATCTCCAGATTATCCGAGGCAATTCAATCCCGGAGGTTATGAATCAACAGTTCCGGCTTGAAGTGGGCGAAATTTAATGCAATTAAATTTTTTACCCACCGTATCAAAGTGACTGAATGTATTTATCATGTGTACTTCTGCATTGTTGTCAAGGACGGCAACCAGTTGGGAAATACTGGCGGAACTGTGGCAAGTTAATACACCCGTCGCTAAAGTAATACACCCGGATAGTGCACATGAGAAACATTAACGTAACAACCTTTTGTTTTCTAGAGGATATTTGTCAAGCGATTCCGGGAATTAAATGCATATGCACGAAAAATGAAAGTTCACTTTTCTTTTTCATTTCTATTTCCAATCCGATAGCAGATCGTGTTACAATTAATTTTGAGGATTAAACAATTGGTAATTTAAATCTCTCGTCAATTTTTCTGTGCTGAGATTATTAATTGATATTGGAGAATAATTTTTTTTATGTTTTAATTTATTTAATTTATATGGGGAAAATATGGAGATTCTAGTTCTGGAGATTTTTTAAAGAAATTACGTATTTTTTCATTGTTAATGGAAATAGGAAGAGAATGATGTTTTGAATTTTTCACCGCGAAAGTCCGGGAAAAAAGGGAAAAATATAAAAAAGTTGACAGAATTGGGAATTAGGAAATCAAAATAATAGTTCATTAAAAATTTTTCATTGGCAATAACAATTAAAGTCCTTGCAAATTCGGCGGACAAAAAAAATTGTAATCGGAATACTTTTTCCGAATTTTCAAAAAATTTCTGGAAAATTTTTCCGAATTTTTTTTTTATGAAAAAGAAAAATTGGAAAACAAAACAATTTTATTTTCGCAAAAGTTTTGAAAAACTTTTCAAAACATTTCCCAAAAACACAATTGTTTTGTCCCCCGATATTTTTATTTAAAAAAAAAAAATTTCTGAAAATTTTTCATAAATTTTTTTTGCAAATTCGGAAAAATATTCCAAAATTACAATTTTTTTTTACCTGGGTGACTAGTAATTTGAGGGGATTTAGGGGGCAAAAGGGGATAAAAAAAAAGGCGATGGGTGGACTTGACTCAGCGGATTGGCGCGTTTGTTCTGGTGTACAGAGTAATACGATAGAGTACCGCCACCCGCATTTCTTTTGACCGATTACCTTTCCCACGGCGGCTCATGTATACCGCATTTATATCACAGTCTCCTAGTGCACCAACTACAACTAGAATAGACTATATCCCTATTTCACCCTTCTCAATGCAGTATAAACTATTCTAGTATCCACGTACGGCGCTATGAGAAATCCTTGTCGTGGGCGTGTGTGCCACGGATTGTGATGCAATTGTACAATATAAAATCATCGATCTACTTTGGAAATTTAGACGCAATCCTATTCCCTCAGGATCAATACTATCTAAAAATTCCACAAAAACCTGAAATAAAAATAATTGAAATCAATACAAAATTCATCAGCATTTTTCAACTGAAAAATCTTGTCATCTCTCTGAACAACTCAACTCATCACTTAATTCCCCCTTTAATTCCCCCCTTTGACAAATAATTCGATATTAATATTAAATTTTCATCTTGAGAAAATGATTTTTGAAAAATCAATCTCCCCTAAATTCCCCGAATTTCATAATTTCATTTTACCATGATAATTTATTCATTAATTCTATCATATTTTTTTTTAATTATGAAAATTAATTTTCTCGCGGTGAGAAATAAATGAATATGCATGAGAAAAGTAAAGAATATCATCTACCACCATTTAAATAGAATTACTCCCCGATAATCAGTCATCGAATTATGTGGGAAATATAATAAAAACCTATATAATTAATAATAATAATAATATATTCATTGCTGAGTATTTCGAGCGTGAGGTCGTTGTTCGGATGCTCAATACTAAATGTCAAAAGTACCGGCAAATTGTTAATAACAATTTCAAAGTTTATGAGCCATGCGTCATTGACCGTATAATATCGCCATTTCCATAAACTCACGATCATTATAAAACGATCGACACTCCAGTAATACGACGATTACCAGCTTTGAGCCACCAATCAGCCGATGGTATTTATAATTTTACCCCAACAACAAGAGGCAACAACTTGATTTTATAATCTCACTGTCTCACGCCACTTACCGGATAAAATCCTGTGATACTTTCTCATTGCTGGGCTATATGCGAGAAATATTGTGCAATTGAATTGTACTATATACTGGCTTTTCCAACTGACAATGAGACAACGATAAGTCATTTCACCTGAAAAATCAACCGACGAATTATTATATTTTTATTCAATTTTCCACAGACAATCAGACGGATAATCGCTGCCATAATTATGATAATTGCTGCCATAGGATTGAGTAATTCAGTGGTTTAATGTAATGGCGATATTATTTCACACTTACGTGGGATTAATGCAGATGATTTTAATGCGCCACTTCAACTCAAACTCAAACAGCGAATTCAGGTGTTGGGGGATTAATGGATATTTTATCGTGCTTTTGGCGGAAGTCCATAAAAATATGTATAAATAACAGAGAAAGTTCAATGTTCTTCATTTCTAAAACGATTTTGCAATAATTGATAATTTATTGTAATCGATACCGAAATCAATTATTCATCAGTGAATTCGCGTTCATAATTTACTTCGATGAATGATGGTAATTTCGAAATAACACAGCGAATGAAAATTATTTTCCCTAACAGCCTCCATTAAACCCAAACAAATTTACTTAAGACAATAATTAGAACAGAGATTTATGTACGAATTTAACGCATTTTGTACTCTAAAACAGATTTATTCGACAGAAATATTTTTTTTTTGGTGTAACGCACGATCTAATGAACAAAAAATAATTAAAAAAAACAGAAATTAGTGAACACCCACAAATAGATGTTAAAATGAAATAATTAAATCGCTCGTTATTCATTTAGTTTGGTAACAACTCCCGTAAAAGGAGATGTAGCATTAAGTACTGCAACGTGTCTGTACATTAATGATTTGTAATTTCTCTCTTTTCAGTGGGGAAAAGGGAGGAGATTGAAGGAATGCCTGGAGTGATTCAAAAGACTTCCGCGCGTGCATTCAATTTGCTGCATTTAGGTACATATCGTAACGTAATTGCAGACTCACTCGTGATATCAAGATCCATGGAAGGGTGTGAGAGAATTGAGGTAAGACGAGGGTTCAAACGGTACTTAACCTTTCTGCTGGATTATTTGTTCAATTTGATGCTCAGGTTGAATTTCCTATTTTCACGGTTCAATCAACTTTACGGTATTATCCAGCAATTGAATTCACCGGAAAAAATCAGCTGATGATTACGCGCTAATTATCATCAGAAATGTATCCCTCCATCTTTTTTATTTCAATTTTTTACTTTCTATTGAATATTCTGCGAAAATATCGCATCATTCAATTTTATTTCGACTTCAATATCGTCATTATAATTTCGTTATTTTATTATTAATTAAGGCAATTTATTTATTTATTTCGTACTATGGGATTAATGGTGTTGGAAAAGATCAAGTCTTTTCATTATTTTACCGCATGTTTGTAATTGAGAAATTATTTTTTATAATGACAAAGCCAGAAATATTTCTGTGGAATTCTTAATTGACGAATGAATTGATTTCTTGAATTAAAAATTGAATTGAAATTAAAAATTGAATTGAAATTAAATTGAATTGAACTCAAGTATCATCACAAAAATATAAATTTGACACTGTGAAACTTCAATTCAGAGAATGAACCAGACTGCATGCATCAGTGCATCTGAAACCGTGTAACGAGGAAAAATGAAAAAAAAAAACGAATGAATCTCTCCAGAATTTTTCCCACAGTTGTATAAAAGCCGTAATGAGTAGTTCTCTCGGCTAGAGAATCCTCACACACAAGTTTTCCCGTTCATTATTATCGATAACCGCCACCTGACTCAATCACAATTGCATCTAAGGAATAAAAAACATAACAAATTCTTTCATTTCCCTATTTTATTAATTTTTATTAACGAAACGTTGAGAAAAAAAATTTTTTCACTTGTGCAGTTTAATTTACTATTTAATGATTGACCTAGTGGTCGTCCTCGGCGTTCCACCTACGCCAGTATTTTACCAGCACTGGGGAACGCCCTTACTTGGTAACCAATAGCCGACACTTCTATTCAAATGTTCACCAGCATAAAAATACCATGGACATGATAATTTCACGTCTGACATGCGACCGAAAAGGATTTCGTAACGTGAAAATGCATTTTTCCACGTCTGATGAAATGCAAGAAATAATCCAGCCAACCTGGCCACTTCCGTGAGAATAAAAAAATTTCTGATGAAGAGGGAAAGACCCAGAGGGATAGTAAACTCTCGAGGTCACTGTCCCGGGTTACTTCTAGTTCAACTTCATGCAGAAGTTGGGAAAAAAAAAGTCTATCTGTGTATTTTGTTCACTCGATAAGAATACAAACTGAATCCTTCACTATCTCGATGTCGTGATCTGCACTAGGATAATCGTTATCCTTTCTCCTTCGTTTCTGTTCAGGATTTATCGGATAAATAATCATTTTTTTTTCGCGTAATCGGTGTTTCTGGAGATTGTGTGACCGACACCTAATCACTCTGTTAACTTATTGTACATCGAGTGGGTTGTAATGATACGAGGGTATCAATTATTGTCGGGGTTATGCATTTTATTTGGTCGTACATTAATTGGAACATTTCGAATGGGCCAGTGACTTCTGGAGGGATTTAATTTATAATATAATTTCATTAATTCCATATATTCCAATTATTTTTCTCATGCCTCAAGGGAAATTGATAAATTTAGAGAGTATCTGCGTTTTCAATTCGAAAGAGGAAACTCAAATAAAAATGAAGTATCAGTTAAATAATTTAAATAAGGTAATAAAAAATAGAGAAATTTCAGCGAGATTAATTTTATGATGATTTTTTGAGCTTTCCGCGTTGAAATTGAAAATGCAGGAGATGAAGTTATGGCGGCGAATTTCTTCATGTGTTGGTGTTGCTGGTCTTCAGGGGATTTAAATAAAAACTTTCATCTTCGTGAAATGCCACTTGGATTCAAAATACTGCGATTCTCAGCTTCTCACGTGCTATCGCCTCTTTGCGATCCTTCGGGACGAATGGATTCGTCGTCAAATCCCCATTCAATCTAGGAAAATATCAATCAGAGCTACAGGATTTCCACTTAATTACAAGAAAAAAATATACTTGAATCTCAAATATTCCAGTACCTTCGAAAAAATGAAATTACATTTTTTCAATTATTGTAATTATTTGGGGTGTATTGGAAAAATAATATCATATGACGTTTTTAATTTTCTACTAACCAACGCGGATAAAAAAAATTGTAATCGGAATTTTTTTTTTTTAATTTTCAAAAAATTTTTGGAAAACTTTTCAGAAAACTTTTCTTTTGAAATAAAAAAAATCGGGAAACAAAACAATTTTATTTTTGGAAAATGTTTTGAAAAATTTTTCAAAACTTTTCGAAAAAAAAAATTTTGTTTTTCAATTTTTTTTCTTTCACCGAAAAATGTTCTGAGAATTTTTCCAGAAATTTTGGAAATTCGGAAAAAATATTCCCTACATTTTTTTTACCGGGTAAATGAGAATAGATACAGAATAATGAAATGCAAATAAAAAAAATAATTAATTAAAAATGGAATATACTGGATTGAAATATATTTTTTCTGATGAATAAATCGAGCAATAATTTTTGAGCAATGAAGTCAGGATTTACCCATAGAGTTTGGTTGCCTCATGACAGTTAACATTGTACCACCAGTCGCAGGCGAACTCCTTCTGATTGAATAACGTACCATTGCTGCAGAGGAATGAGGCCCCCTGGTGGCCCTCCCGTCCGTCATGACAAACGTGGTAAGCCTGGAAAAAAAAATCGCCATTACTTGAGAATTGGTGGGAAATTAGTTCTCTATCGGAGTGCAGAGAATCGATGAACGCGTGTCTGATGAATCAGACTCCATTACATGCTGTAACATCATTTCGGTCCATACGATAATCGAGGAGTTTGCGAAATAGGGGAATCACAGACTCTTGAGAAATCCTCAGTTGGTACGCCCCAGTAAAATTCACACAGAAAAAAAAATTTAATCATAATAATATTCATATTATCATTATTATTCGATTTTTAAAATTCATTTAAAATTCATTTATTCATATTTGGAATGTCCGGTGCAATAAAAATGATCGACGAAGAAAAAAAAAAGATCTCGGTCTAATTAGAGAGGGATTAATGATAAAATAATTTCGCTGGCATTCCTGATGGAAAATCAGGTATCAAGTTTGAGAGAGACTGTTTCAAAAGTCCTGAGTAGCCTTAAGGCCTTTGTAATACACCAGACTGACTTTTTCTTATATAATAGCGCTCCAATTCTCCAATTCTCCACTCTCAGTTTTATCAGTCCTCTCTTCGCTTCTTTCCATTTCCAATAATAAATTTATCGATGGAAATATTATTGGTTGTTCGAGACCACAAGAGAAAAGGCATTGCACCTTATAAAATTTAATTTTTCGTTGGAAGAGAGTAGGGGCAATTCGATGCATAATTTTTTGAATTTTATCCTTTGAAGATTTATGCTTTTGGGATCAATTATACCAGCCTTTCGAAATTGCAATGTCGATCCGCAGGCGACAATTACCTTCACTCGAGTCATTATTCTTGTTCATTAAATTTAAAGTGTACATCATCTGAGGATTTCTGATTTCATTTGGGAGTCGCTTCCGCGTTGCGGAATATGTCCTTTCGCATTTATTTATGTTTGAATGTTTCTTTTTGAAAACCGTGGGGAAAGACTTTGGAATTTTTTAATGGACTCCTGCGAATTTTAGCGCGAATCTTGCGGGTTTTTCCAAGAAATTTTTTGCTCATGCGCCGGCGGGTTTATCAGTAGATTGGAGTATTGGAGGTATTTCTTGCGGATTTTCAATGATACACTTTCATCCAGCCTATCGTCCTTGTAATCATTCCCAATGCTCGGATTTTATTGGTTTTCTTTCTCTTTTTTAATACATTCGCTTGCATTCTTTTCATTTTTAGCGTCGGTGGCTTACAGGATTCATTTTAGAGGTAATAATTATGATGATAATGACTGTGGGTAAATAATGAGAGAAACACATAATAAGATATCACCAGATTTAATAACTTCATTACGAAGTTGAATATCTCGAGTAAAAAAATTGTAATCGGAATATTTTTTCGAAATTTTCGAAAAATTTGAATAGAAAATTTTTTTTATTTTAGATGGCGTTTTTTTTGGGAATATTAAAAAATCGAAAAAGTAGGAAAATAAAAGTATAATTGAAAGAAAAAATTATATTCTCAAAGGTTTCTAGAAAATTATAAAAAAATTTTCAAACATTTTCCAAAAATACAATTGTTTTATTTCCCGATTTTTTTTTGTGTCAAAATAAAAATTTTCTGAAAAGTTCTCCAGAAATTTTTCAAAATTCGGAAACAATATTCCGATTACAATTTTTTTACCGGGACTGTACAGAATTAATGGAATTCCAGTAAATTCATAAGTGTTCAGTGAATTTCCAATTTTTATAAATTTTTCTGGCTTTTCGTCATTTCGGTACAACAAAAATCAAATGTTTCCTTAATTTTCCGATCTTTCAACCAGGAAAATCCCGGAATATTTAATTTTCCACTGCCAAAAAAATCAGTTCAATAATTCTCAGTACCTATATTTTTTAGAGCTTGTGTAGCTTTACTGTTTAAAGTAAAGCGTGAGTTTCAGTAATGGAAGGCGATGTAGAATATAGAGTAACACGATACATAATGTAATGATATGTTTATGAAAGTTCGTCGGGGAGTTTATCGCCGCTAAACCTTGACTTTTCATAAAAAATATATTTTATTTCGCAATTAGAAATGCCTTCGCTCACAACTATTCAGATGATCTACAATATTTTTTTCAATATCCTCAATCTAGAGTACAAGGCATTTACTCAGTGATTCATAAAAAAAAAGTCGAAAAATCGAATGAAAAAGAAAAGAAAAAAATTGTAATAAAATAGTAAATCTCTTTTTGGTTTTTTTTGCGAATATCATAAAGGAAATATTGAAAGAAATTAAGAATGAATCAACATGTTGATTAGCAAAGGAATATTGTAGAAGAATGGATTGTCTCTGACTGACCTGACAGCCGGTTTCGGGATTGGCATACATCCCGGGTACAAAAGGCACCCTTGAACACGAGAATCCAGTCTTTGGAACCTGATGATACAAGGGGAAATCCACCCCAGGAACTCCAGGAATTTTACTAAAATCCTGTTCCTTTTTCCTCTCTTCTTTTTTAAACTGGAGCTGCACAGGCCCCTGAACTGGTTGATGCCTCACCTCCTCCCGAGGTGGCTGATCCTCCTGATAATCCTGAAATTCCTGATACTCTTGATACTCCGGGTACTCATCATAAACTTGAATCCTGAACCTCCGATCCTGTAACAACACCCATTAACTCCAATCATCTGCGCTTTTTCAATAGAATTAATTAAATTAAAAATTCATTAACAAACGATAAACTAGAATTAACGCACGTTCCACCCCAATTTTCGGCTGATATCTCGGAATTTAATGAAGATAGCGATATTTTCATAACCACCTTTTTTGTAGCTATCTGTTTTTCACACAAAAAATATATTCACAGAAATATCGATATCTCCGTTCCCCTTCGAGATATTCGCTGAGGGATGGTGGAGAAAAAAAGTTATCCGAGTTTATCACTTGGGGACATATTTCCGCAGAGTACAATCAGTCGGTCAGAGTATCGACTTCATTCATCGTTTCAATTCACTGCACCCAACCGCTATTTTTCCGCTCCCTCGACTGTTCCACTGATCTTCACTGCGAGTTTAATCAAAAAAAAAAAAAAAAAATACAGAAAAACTGCGAAAACCCAGTGTTCACCGACCGAATCAGTCTCTTCGCAAAGTCAAGGTCATGATTGCCAAGAAAATAATAATAACAATAGTAAAACAATAATAAATAATATTTTTTTATTATTTTTCAATTTTATACTATAATTAATCATCATTACGAAATTTTCAGATCCAAAAAAATTGAATTAAAAAAAAAACATTGAATTTCGATAAATTTTTTTTTTTTGGCGCCAATCACTTTATTCGGTCTCGAAAGGGGAATGCAAATGAATTTTTGAAATTCAAGATTTTTGAGGAACAAGGAAATTTTTTTGATAAATGTATTTTCGATGGGGGAGAGATCGAGGGGAGAGGAATGGAATGTAAAAATATATTTATATCTGGTTTATATCTGGTGAAAAAATAATAGGAAAATATATTTTACCGTGGGGGTCTGATTATAATTGAAAGTAACTACTTGCAGCGAGTGCAGGCGTTGCCAGCGCCACAGTACTACAGCTACAACGAATTACTTAAGGATTTTATTCACCTGCGAGAGGGTGAAGGTGAATCCCCCGATGATAACGAGATATTGTAGGACTGTGTAGCTCCTTGCCATGACCGTACGGAGTTTCACGTTGAGGTAAACTGGTCCAGCTTCCGTTGTGGTTGAGACTCCCTTGCCAGGCATGAGCTAAATTATGTCACAGAGAAAGTCACCAGTGACTGAATATTCCACAACCCCACCCCTTCATCGGGCGTTACCCACGTAAAAATATCAAATTCAATATCCTAATGAGATTGATTTTTATGGATGACAATTTACTCTCGCAAATCAATTCCAATAATTTTTACAGAATATCCATTCTATTATTTTATTAATTCCTTGTTTATACATTTTCTCATTTTTATTTATCAATTTTTCATTGATTTCATTTTTTTTTAAATTTTTTATCTTGTGCACATTATTTTATAAAAATCATAATCATATCGAAAAGTATTTACATCTGGGAATAATTGTTAATGAATTAAGTTGACACTCGACACGATTTAACTATTTATTACGTCCCGATAATTTCAGAGGAAAATCATGTACGAAATTGTGAGAGAATTTTTGTTGAACCATATTCAATGGAAATTCATGACACAATTGTTCCCTTGGACACCGAGGAAAGAAAATATATTATTCCAGTTGAAAGAAAGTTTTCTAGTGGATTCTACTGCTTTCCATGAATTTACTGGTGTAGAGCTCGGCGTTTACTGGTGTATGTATAATTTTCCTCCGGTGGAAAACAAGATCGTAAATTATGGCGAAGCGTCGAAAAATAGAGGAATACTTTTCTTGGAGAAGTACGGACACTCCGGAGGATTTAGTGACGCTAAACTATTGAAACTCCGTGGGTTTTTCATCCTTTACGCAGAATAATTAAGACTGCAAGATCTAGGGGATTAAAGCCACTGTTGTTCCTCCAGTTGATGAGCAATTTATCCGCAATTAAAGTCCTCTACTTTCAGGGCAATAGCTTTTAATTTGAAAGCCCATCGATTTTTTTCTTTATCTACCTCTGAATTTTTATTGCAAATCCAAACTAAAATTTATTTGAAACTCAATTTTTAGAGTCGATTTATCACATCGATCTATAGAGCTTATTTAATTATTATTAATAATTACAATATGGCTGACAGATCTCTGTGATACCAACGAACATCAACGCGGAGAGTTATCATACGTCGGGAGAGTGAAATATTTTTAATATTAACTAATAATTCTCGCTCCTGCAAATTTGATTATAGAATTTTAATAAACACTGAACATTCGAAAGTGAGAGGTAATGTAACACCTCTGTAATAATAAACCCTTTCCAATGACCAATATCTCTCGATCATCGATAGAGAAAGTTTATAGAATTCTACAAGCGAACAGTATCTTCCTGAGACAAGAATATCACCGGTGCTTTTCTCGTTTGATTAAATTTCTTCGTGTTGATATCAATGGAGATCATTTCACTCCAGAGTTGAAGATTTCAATAATTCCTCGTAAATTAGATAAAAACTGATTTTTTCCTACGCAATGGATAGTGATACCTGCGACTCTTCAGTTCATTCAATTTACTCATCAACATTTACTCATGAATTGTCTCACAAAGTTATGAATAAAATTGGACGAGCACTGGCTCCACGTCGTGACGCACTTCTCGTATAAAAAAATATTTAAAAAATATCAATAGCACTTTTTTATGCACTGCATTTGACTTGCTGATCCCATTCGCATCTCCTCAATCGTTCACTGTATGCAGTACCAAACGGACATATAAAGGACACTTTTCTCCCTTCAGAGCATTCATGGAAGACCTGAAATAATTATTATTGATTATTGAATTAATTTTCATATTTCGGTGGTGAGAAATTGCGATGAGTCGTGGCAATTATTTTATTATAAATTGAAAGATTTATTTTTTGACAATAAAAAATTTTGATATTCTCACTTGACACTTGACTTCGGTGTCAGCAAACGTTCCAGTCCTCTCGTGACATGAAAATCCCGTCTCTGGCATGTTCGCTCCACTTTTCGAGTCTTCGAACGTCGACTGTAATTTCTCGGATATAGATTTTACGGAAGTTTTAATGGTCTTCCCTGAGGTCGTTATGGCGTTCGCATGGATAGGATTTTCAGTGTGACGCAATTTTCTCTCGTGAAAATCGTTGAGAAAGCCCCCGTAGTTTCCTATTATCTGAGAGGATAGAGAAATATTACAGAATAACAGAATTCCTTGAATTTCCTTCTATTATCTTTATCTTGTTTTTACAACCAAAATATTTTAATTGCACAAGTAAAAATCGTTCTCATAATTTTGCGATCGGTAGATCGCAAGGATTTTTTTTTAATTATGGATTTGAATAGTTGTACCTGAGTATCAAATATCGGTGGATTGCCGGTGTGAAATTGTTCCCTGAATTTTCCTCCACTCCAGCCGAAGGCATGCGGATGATTCCAGGACGGATGATAAAACCCTGAGAATAAAATGTCACTCGCAGGGATAATGAGAGGTTTAATAACAGGTTTATAGATTTTCGGAACGGAAACTGAATTTTGTCCACGGAAATTCAGGTACCCCGGGGCCTTGACTGGTGGTTTGTAAATCGATTCATGACGATAATTGGGGGTGTGTACACCATCGACAATTGGCTTCCTAATTACGTACGTCGTATCCACAGTCTTCGGGTGCTCGTAATGATATCTACCCTCTGGTGGAACGTATCTGTTATCAACAGTCGCATAAACCTGAAAAAAATATTCAACACAGCATGACAGACAAAAAAATTACTCAGTATTTTTCTTCAGGAGCGATCAATCATGAAATTGCAAAATAAAAGTCACCGAGGAGATGAATAATTATTAGCATGCAATAATTTTTTTTGCAGAATCTTCATCTTTTCAAATCCTTCGCTTCATGATTTATCGAAATTGTTTCCCATTACACTTTGTCCATCCATAATCACAAAAAAAAATTTGAATATCTCTGGCTTTTTACGTTTTTTATCGATTAATGATTGAGAATGACTGGATACCCTACGATTTAAATCCACAATACCTTGGAACAAATCGGAACAGATTCCTGGAATAATTTGTCACGATTCCACCAATGGGTAATTGCAGGGTATTACCTTTATGACTTCAGGCTGGATTCGCTCGTGAGTTGGATGTTTGTCTCCATGTCGCGCCTCGAGTATCACACCATCAACAACAGTAATGCCTTCTTTATTCAGCCGATTGAGTGCCAAACGATCGGTTCTAAACGCCTCCTCTGGAATTTTTCCCCCAAGAGCTGGAAGCACTTGTTCGCGAAATATCTGACGCTTTTGCTGAAATAATAGAGAACAAACATGAGCTCATGATTGTCCAGACGCTTCAACATTTTTTCCGACTTCAGGAGCAAGTTTCGGGTATTCTTCGACGAATTTTTAATTGAACGTGATCTACTGCGCACTCCGTGCGCCGAATTTGAATTTGGCGGTTCGACTTGACCAATGAGGATGATGACCAATTCATCCTCGACGTTTCGAGATATTGCGACTCGAGCGAACTTCATTTTTGTTTCTACTTTCATAAAAAGACGAGATCTACTGCGCACTCTGTGCGCCGCATTTGAATTTGGCGGTACGAGTTGACCAATGAGGAATTAGTCCTACGCGTTTCGAGATATTTCGATTCGGGCGATCTTCATTTTTGTGTTTGTACTTTCATAATAAGGATAATAAGGATAATAAGGAAAAATAATTTCTATTTGCATCTTTGTGCGGAGTTATTGAATGTAGAGCACGTAAGACGTGCATCCTGAATCGAACGTGAAAGACGTGTACACTCGCCCTGGAAACCGATCTCCTGATACATCCGTACACAATAATACAATCATAGACTCCAAGTCATACGCGTTGAGCAACAACTGCGCTTCCAATTCTACGCGCTCCGCTTCACACGGTTGAATAACACTACAATCCTTTTAACTGAAACGAGACGATAAATCGCGAGTGCTCTAGAAATAGTCGCACATAAAAATCACGGTTAGAATAAAATCGAGAGTGAAATAATCGAGTATTTTATTTGAATAAGAAATAAACGGAGAACAGAATGAGATCGGGAGAAAAAATATAAAAACCTTCTGGCAATCGATCACGGCAGGAACAATGAAAATAATGGAAATCATGAGTGTCCGATGGAAAAGCCATTTTCTTCCCCTCTTCATGATGATGATGATGATTTCCCCCCCAGATGCTTCTCAGAAATCTCATCCAGCCTCTCAATCTCTTCCTGCAACAGAGCAACACAACTTGATGATTGCATTTACATAATTCAGGTTTACGCACACTTTCCAGGCATTCCCATACCCCAAACAATCTTTCATCTTGTACACCTTTTTCAGATTTTTTACTCGAGGTTAAACTGTACTCCTGGTATTTATCATTGGGGCATCTAGACGCTTTAATCTCAACGAATGGACGAGACCAATTACAAGCCACTGAATGTCGTCGGGTGAAAGTTAAAATGCACTTTGTGTTTCGATCCGGAAGTCTTCAACAAAATTTTTGTCATGGAAACACTGAAAAACCATTACTTCTCGAAAATTCACTTATTGTTGCAGTCTTAATGGAATTCTTTGTCTATCCTCGGGTCATGAACTCAGTAAAACTCCAGACATTTTTACGGTATAAATTTCATAGCATGAGTCTTAATTTTCTCTGTCAACTTTCCGAAACTCTAGGCGCCAAAACAATTAGCAGATCCTGCGGTAAAACGTAAAAAAAAATTTGAGAAATTCATTCGCGGTATTGGGACTCGTAATTCACACGGTCGAACCCGTAATTTATGATATTGATATTAATTCACTAGATCGAAATCATAATTTCCCTTTTCAAATGGATAAATCTAATTTTCAAATTTTTTGTTATTCACCCACATTCACCCACATGAAAAAAATATATACCCGAAATATAAATCAATTATATCGAAATATATTTTAACAAACTGTCTCAGTTTTTCAAAAATTATTTTTGAATTTTATCTTGTGCCCTGAGGCCGCGGTATTTTCTGCCGTATTTTCGTTGAATTTGTTATTATTGCTATTTTTTTTTTGTTATGATTAAAATCCGTAGAGATCACCTCTGATATTTAGTAAAGTGGAAAATGGAGACCTGCTGAAGATGGGACTGAGGTGAGTCCCAGAGGTGGACCCCGTGATATACTCTAGAAGCTTGAAGCACGTGAGTAGAAAATACTTTCACTGTTTGTGACGGCATCTCCAATCACCCTCCTAGATCCACCATCGAAGAATTCCTTTCTACGAATATAAAAATTCAATTCTCCTTGGTGGGACTGAAGCACCAATCCATTGTTACCTATTAATATTTTTTTCAGTCTCTCCATTCGATTTGGCAAGAGGAATCGGAACGTTTCTCAATCATAATTGACTGACAGGTGTCAGTTGTCAATCAGGCATTCATCAGTTCAATTGAGTTCAATTGACGTCAACTCGAAAGGAATATTTTATTTGGAAATATTTAACATTCAGGGATGAGTCCGAAAAATTTGAATCTCAACCACTGGGAAGAATTCGCTTGAGAATAATTCTCTCGGTGATCAGGTTTTTTTATTTCGCTTTAATTTAATTTCATGATCAATTTAAATTGACTCTTCGGATATTGTGGGTTTTTTTTTTATTATTCTTTCGCTCTAGGTGAGTGGTTTTTCCGACGGATGGGAGCGCCGAATTCATGAATTTTTTCATCGGTATTAAAATTTTTATGATTCTCTTTTTATCCATCGGCAGACATTTGTCTTTGAATTCTATTTTTTTTTGCAGTTATACTTAATTTCAAAATTTATGACACTTAAAACATTAAAAATATCATGAATAAATAATATTCGTGAAAAGTGGTTTTTTAAATTTACATTCTGTAAACGATAAAAAAATCGGCCAAAACCAGAAAAAAAAATCAATAAAAAAACAAGCAACAAAAAGTTGAATTTTTTTTAAAACGGACACTCGCGAATATTTAATTTTTCTTCTCATTACATTGTATTCCATTTTTGTTTTTTTCAAAAAACCTTCACCTAGGTTTCTCTCTGATTATTCTCCAACAAAAAAAAATTTCATCAACTTTTTATTTAACGATCCGAGTATAGCACATCGAGTAATCACATGAGGACCCTAAAAACGATTGCTCGAGAAGAACAATGACATTTTAACCGCGACGTTATGACTTTCGCGTAATAAAAAAGTATAATAAAAAAAATATAAGATGAGAGAAGGGAGGATTTCATATTCGGAGAGTTCTTAAGCGGTGGAATCGGTTCTAATCTCGATAGAAACGTAATCCGTAGTGTTTATGAAATTTCTCCTGCCATTTTCAATTGTATTATCAAATAAAAATGGAGCGTTGGGTTGGAAAAATCGCTGTTGTAACTGGTGCAGCCGGTGGAATCGGTTTATCCCTGGCTCGAGCCCTCAGTGAAAATGGAATGATTGTCGTAGGACTTGATAAAAAAAAGCAGGAAATGCTGGTTAGTATTACGAACTAATTAATTCACGAATCCACTGATTAAAAAAAATGATGATCGGACAAGACTCTGATAACTTCTCGGGATATCACGATTCTTTTTCATTCTCGAAACGAATCAGGACGAGATCAAGAATCTGGGCATCGGTAAAGGAAAATTTTACGCACTGAGTTGTGATGTTAGTGATGAGGACAGCGTTACCGAAGCTTTTGGCTGGATCAAAAAAAATCTCGGAGTCGTTCAAGTTCTTCTCAATAATGCTGGATGCATGGTCTTGGGAGGATTTGCAGGTATTCATTCGATTTCACTCCCGACCGGTGGTCCTGTCGATTCCAGAATTCCAATTTATAATTTTTTTTTTATGCAATTTAAATAGACACAACCCCGGAAATTTGGCGGAATATTCTGGACGTTAATTTGATGGGCTCAATCCACTGCGCTACAACAGCTATTAAAATGATGCGGGAAGCTAATCTCGAAGGACATGTCATTAACATGAACAGGTAACTAGATTGAATTGGCGTAATTAATTGACCTAGTTAATTAAATCCTTGAAATTTTCTTTCAATACGAAACATCAGACACATTACGAGCCAGTAATAATGCAGAGGAGCAAAATAATTTTTATATAAATATGAATTTTCAATGTGTTTGTAATTGTTAATAATTAATTCGGTGTTTTCAGCATCGCAGGTCACCGCATCTACCTGCACAAAAACTTATATTACAATATTTATGGCGTTACCAAACATGGAATCACTGGCTTCACCGAGACACTTCAGAGAGAACTAATGGGGCAGAACATTCGGGTCACAGTTAGTTGATTGCTATGCAATTAGCTTGACCACACTAGAAACATTAAATAGTCAAAATTACAATGCAGATGGAAATCGTTAACAGATAATATCCACGCAAGACTTAAACATCAGTAACGATTATCAAATAAAAAAGTGGACGGCGAGTCATCAATTAGGATTTCAAGCGTCTCATTTACATTTTTAATCTCTGTTTATAATTATTGTTATTTTAACCTCGTAAATTATGATAGAACAATATTTACTCAGCCACATAGAAAGGATAACAATGCAAGGGCAGTTAAAAATCGTTCTGTCGAGTTGTTATAGAATTCCTTCGTGTGGTAACTTTTACTGGTCAATTATCTTCTTGCTTTTGGATATGTTTTTTATTCCATGAATTTTTTTTTTTAGAGTATTAGTCCGGGGATTGTGAGGACTGGCATCATGGGGACGGGTGAAGACATGTCAACGCTGAATGTACCGATTCTCGAGCCCAAGGACATCGCCGATTCCGTGATTTATATCCTGGGAACACCGCAGAGAGTGCAGATCGTGGAGTTGACTATCAGACCGTTGGGAGAAGACGCGTCCTGAATATTTCCTCCTAAAAATAATCCCGTACATCCGGAGAATCAATTTTTATTCTCACAAAATTTGAACATCATAATTCGACACGTTCAAAAATATTTCAATCCTTCAAAAATCAGAAAATAAATTCAAAAATGAAACTTGACTTTTCTGGATGTAATTGAAATAATCTGTTATCAATTTTCAAATAACTTCACTCCAACTGATCATTTGTTGGATCGGAAATGACGAGATGTACGACAAGTCGAATAAAGCTATTGTTAAGATGATATCATATCCGTCATGGAGTTCTGTAATTTCCCTCAGCAACAATTTTGCTTTTTTATGTACGACTTAACGAGGAGAACGAAGAAGAAATGCTGTTTCATCGCTGTCTGAACGTTATGCAACAGCTAATAGTCCAGCTAATATCTACTAATTTGAGAAGGATACCCTTGAATTGCTCTGAGCAACTCTCATTAGCCAGCAGCAGTTGAACCAGTGAAGATAGTAATCCTCTTTGGAAGTTTGTTGAGCCCGAAGAGATTCAATTTCAAAGGACAAAGATGGACCGCTGGGCAGGAAAAGTCGCTGTTATCACTGGAGCATCCTCTGGAATCGGATTAGCAACGGCTAAAGCACTTATTCAAAATGGAATGGTCGTTGTGGGTCTAGCTAGAAGGAAGGATAAAATGGAGGTATAATTTTTTCATTTTACATTTGTTTACCTGTGGATAAATAAATTACCTCGACACGTCCATTTTATTTATCATCAGAACGAAATGAAGAATGTTCCGAGGGCTAAGGGGAAGTTCCATGCGGTGAAGTGCGACGTGGCTAACGATAATGATGTCGCAGAGGCTTTTAATTGGATCAAAGAGAATATTGGAAAGGTCCAGGTTCTAATTAACAACGCGGGCATCGCCAGGGGTGGAAAGTTCACCGGTAATTATTGAGAATAAAAAAATTTCACGGTTTTAATCGACTCTTTTAATTGACATTGTGATTGTTCTTCGCTCTGTAGAAGTAGAAAATACGGTTTTGGAGAATATTATTGATGTCAATCTTATGGGGACGGTCTACTGCACCAAAGAGATCCTCAAAGTACTGCAAGCTGATAATCTCCCTGGGCATATCATCAACATCAACAGGTATATTAGATTTATCTTTGAATTTGTGTTTAATTTTTCACTGGAAGAAAAATTCTGGACGGAGAGAGAAGTTGAATATTAAAAAAATTTTTTCGTCAGTATTGTTGGGCACAGAGTCGTAAAGCCGCAGAACAATGACATGAACATCTACATTGCCAGTAAACACGCAATCACAGGATACACCGAGACTCTCATGAGGGAATTATTGGGCCAGAATATTCGAGTAACCGTAAGTCAATCCATTAAAATCCAAAAAAAATGATTTACTGAAAAAATGAGTGGATTCTCGTAACAGGATTTTTTATTTATGATTAATTATGATTAATTCCAGAGTTTAAGCCCTGGACTGGTGAAAACGGAAATAGTGGGAGCAGTGAGCTCAACACTTGCCGAACTTCCGATTTTGGAAGCCGAGGACATTGCAGACAGTATTATCTTCCTTCTGGGAATGCCCCAAAGGGTTCAAGTGAACGAATTGACCATCACACCATTGGGCGAAAACCTGCTATAATTTTCCTCTCTCAAGAATATTATCCGCAATACTTGAAGAAATCATCCTTTTAAACGAAATGCATGAACGTTTTGCCAGTGTCAACAGAAATGTTATAACCTGTTGTATAATTCCTGATAATTAAAGAACTTAATGAACAACTATTAGCGTACCAAGCCTGAATTGCACAGATGTTCTTGTCCTGTCATCACCCCTGGCCATTCCCAAGATCACTCAGAGAATATTTTATTACCGATGTTAAACTCGCAGGGAGTCATTCACCGTCGTCTCTCCCTGTGGCATAAATCATCAAATATTTCTGTTTTCTCTTCTCTCTTGTCACCGTCTGCTCCTCAACGATGGACCGTTGGACAGGAAAAGTAGCCGTTATCACTGGTGCATCTTCTGGGATTGGTTCTGAAGTCGTAAAAATGCTCGTGAAGAAAGGGATGATTGTCGTGGGTTTGGCGAGGAGAAAACAGAAAATGGAGGTATTTGTACATGAAATATTAAAGATCTAGGAGAAAGAAAACATCAGGGAAAATAAAATTCAGGGATGTAATAATTAATGTACTAGCAGAAAATACCGTAATTGATGATTGATGGATTGAATATGAATTGAGAGGAGAACTTATTATTGATAATTATTCAGGATGACATGAAAGGTCTGTCAGGAGTGAAAGGACGATTTTATGCGGTGCAGTGCGACATATCGAAGGATGAGGATGTCGCCAAAGCTTTTGCACACATAAAAAAGAGCATTGGAACTGTCCAAATATTGGTGAACACCGCAGGATACGCCACTCCTGGTGGTTTCTCTGGTACGGGCGTCAGTTCTGCATGAATAAATAATAAAAAATTACTAATTGACATTTGTCGTTGATCATCAGTGACAACACCTGAAATTTGGAGAGGTGTCGTCGCAGTGAACATGATGGGAGCAATGTATTGTACGAAAGAAGTGCTGACGATGCTCCAGGAGTCGAAACTCGAGGGGCACATCATCAACATGAACAGGTATAACCGGGAGAAATATAGATTTTTTTCAGGGGGCACTGGTCAATTGACCTTCTGTCAATCCGAAAATATAACATCTTTCGATTTTAGTATCCTGGGACATCGCGTCGTCAAGTTCCTGGATATCGATGCCAATGTTTATGCTGCTACCAAGCATGCCATCACTGGATTTTCTGAAACACTCCAGAGAGAGCTGATCGGACAGAATATAAGAATTACGGTACGTTGAAATGACCAGAGAAAAAAATTATTATCAGTATTATATTTCTCAATACTTGGTGACAATAAAAAAAGGATGTGCTCCGATTGATATATAAATTGTAAATGTCTTACAAGTTGATAGTTATCGTAACAGAAAATGAAATAGTATCGGATTTTTATTTTTCGTATTTTTTTTTTCTCCAGAGTATCAGCCCAGGTTTCGTTATCACTCAGATTGTGAAGGAAAATAGTTTCGATACAGCACTTCTCAAAGAGCCGGCGTTGGAACCCGTGGACGTTGCAGATGCTGTGGTCTACGTCATAGGAACCCAGCCAAGGGTCGAAGTCAAGGAATTAATCCTGAAACCCCTAGGTGAAAGGGCATTTTAATCCAAAGTGACGGCAGTGAAGTGGTCCAATTTTTTTCGTCTCCGAAAATGAATTAAAATTAATTGCACATACCAATTATTGGATTTTATGAACATATATTTGTGATTTCAAATGATAAATACCAATAAAAATTAACACTTGAATTATCGAGGCATGAGGAAGTTTGAATGAAAAGCGATCGTGGCGTCACCCTGGTGAATCCCCAGAACTGAATCTATCATC